AAATCCCGGGCTTCATTAGCAAGTGCGGTATGCATACATTACCCTCCTAGTTCGAACTAGGAGGGTAGTGTAGACATACCCTAATAGAAAACAAAATAATAAATAAATACTATAATTACCCACTGACTCAAACATCCATTTCCCATGTAAGAATGGTTTGTAGAGTTGAATCCTACCACGGTACTAATGCCGTCCTGTTGATTGTTTCGATCACCTCCAAGGTCCTCTGATGCATCCGGCCAACAGCACCACCCCAGTGACCCACTTCATCCTGCTGGGTTTCCCCTCCCTGGGCCGGCAGAGCCGCCCCCTCCTCTGTGCCCTGCTCTCCTTGGCCTACGCCGCCACCGTGGTGGGGAACTTCTGCAGCCAGGGAGCAGTGCAAGGGGAAGGCCCGTCTGGCGCTGCTGGAGGGAATGAAGGTTGCGAGACTGCCCGGTACGTCCCAGGGGACAGACGCTGCCTCCACATTGCCGGCCCCGGCTGTGATTGGCCTGTGTGGAGGGGCTGGCCTTGCTCCTTGGTGCTCCTCTGGGTGCCCACAAACCCCACCGCGCCCCGGATGCTCTGCGACCTGCTGCACCCCGGCCTCCCCATCTCCTTCCACGCCTGCTTCCTGCAGTTCTACTTCTTCTTCTCCACGGGGGCCACTGAATGCCTCTTCCTTGCAGCCATGGGTCTGGACCGGTACCTGGCCATCTGCCAGCCCCTGCGCTACCCCGTCCTCATGTCCCCCCCACTCTGCTGGACCTTGGTCGCCTCCTGCTGGCTTGTTGGCTTCCTGTGGTTCATAGCACCCATCGGCCTCATCTCCCGGCTCTCCTTCTGCAGCCCCGACACCCTGGACCATTTTGTCTGTGACCCAGGCCCGTTGCTGGCTGCCTCCTGCTCCCCAGCTCACTGGGCCGGTCAGTTCTGTGCCAACATGGCCTCCCTCATGCTCTTCACCACCATCTCCTTCATCCTGGCCTCCTACGGGCTCGTTCTCAGGGCCGTGCTGAGGCTGCCCTCAGGGGCCGGGCGGCACAAGGCCTTCTCCACCTGCACCTCCCACCTGGTCATCGTGGGCCTGTACTACGGCTCCGTCATGGTGAACTACGCCATCCCCACGGCCTCCGGGACCAGCGGGAAGGTGGTGACGCTGTTCTACACGGTGGGGACCCCGCTGCTCAACCCGCTGATCTACAGCCTGAGGAACAAGGAGATGAAGGAGGCTCTGAGGAGGACCCTGCTGGGGGAGCGTTAGGGGGCTCTGCGGTGACCCCCGTCTGCCAGGACTGGCAGGGGCGACGGTGACATGGGGATGGGCCCTACTGCCATGGGGGCTCTTACACACACATGGCATTTTGTGTGAGCTGTTGTGGTCACTGTGACATGACCAGTTCCTGAGGCTCCAGCCCCTGCACAGAGGGGGTGTGTGTGTGTCCTTGCTGGGGCCAGGAGCCCAGCTCAGAGCGGGTTTGCAGGGGGCAGTGCACCAAGCCGAGTGCGTGTGCGGGGAGGCCGGCTTGCCCCCTGCCTGTTTTGTGCTGCTGTGTTTGCAGATGGTCCCTGGATCAGTGTGAGCTCCCCCCTTCCCTGCCGTCCAGCAACACCCACCCATGGGTGTGTAGGGACTGAGACGTGTGCAGCTGTGGGGGACGTTGTATTTGTGTGCTTGGACCCCCTGATTCTTCCACCACCAGGGCAGCACCAGCACCCCAGCTCCTGCCCCACGGACGCAGCCCAAAGGGGATGAGACAGTAGAGCTACTGCCCTGAGGCCGGCCGACGTGCAGGCCCCTGCTTGCTTTGAACTTGAACCCCGGTGTCCAGACACCCAACCCCACGGCTCCCACCCACTGGGTCCCAGGGGTCTGACAGCCCCTCCCTCCCTGCTCTAACCACTCCACCCCACTGCCCCCAGAGAGCTAATGAGCGAGAGCCCCACCTGCTGCAAATTGTCCATGGACTCATTGGAGTCACTGGGCCAGGGTCCCAGCTGGTGTAAATGAGCCATGGCCCCATTGGTGTGAAGGGGCCAGGACCCCACAAGTCATATAATCTGCCCTTTGCCTCAGTTTCCCCAGGTGTAAAACAGGCACAATGAGAGGCCCCGAGTTTCCCACGTGCTGCACTGGGGCTTAGACAGGGGCCTTTGCAGGACCCTGGGAACAAATGGTTACATAGCACACCCAATCAAATCATAGCATGCATGCCAGAGCCAACCCTCCCTGAATTTCTTCGTCTCTTGTGTGAAGATGTAAATAAAATTTCCTCATTCACTTCCCGTAAGATTTTATAACCCTTTGTCATATCCCCCCTTTACACATCTCTTTTCCAAGCTGAAAAGTCCCAGGCTTGTTAATCTCTCCTCAGATGAAATCTGTTCCTTGCCCCCAATCATGCTTCTCTTCTCCCTTCTTGGTCGAATACTAATACATCTTTTCTGAAATTATTGGATGTGATATACCTTGACTTTAGCAAAGCGTTTGATATAGTCTCCCACAACGTTCTAGCCAGCAAGTTAAGGAGGTATGGACTGGAAAATGGACTAGATGGATAGAAAGCTGGCTAGATTGTCGGGCCCAACAGGTAGTGATCAACAGCTCAATGTCAGGTTGTGGGGTGGTATCAAGTGGAGATCCTCAAGGGTCAGTTTTAGCAACAGTTTGGTTCAACATGTTTATTAATGACCTGGATGAGGGGATGGATTGCACCCTCAGCAAGTTTGCGGATGACACTATGCTAAGGGGAGAGGTAGATATGCTGGAGGGCAGGGATAGGGTCCAGAGTGACTTAGACAAATTGGAGGATTGGGCCAAAAGAAATCTGATGAGGTTCAACAAAGACAAGTGCAGCATCCTGCACTTGGGAGGGAAGAATCCCAAACATTGTTACAGGCTGTGGACCGAATGGCTAAGTAGCAGTTCTGTAGAAAAGGACCCATGGATTCCAGTGGATGAGAAGCTGGACATGAATCAACAGGGACCCTTGTAGCCAAGAAGGCGAATGGCATATTAGGTTGCATTAAGGAGGAACATTTCCAGCAGAACTACAGAAGTGATTATTCCCCTTTATTCAGCTCTGGTGAGGCCACATCTGGAGTATTGTGTCCCACTATAGAAAGGATGTGGACACATTGGAGAGGGTCCAGGAGAGAGTGACCAAGATGATGAGGGGGCTGGAGCACATGACTTCTGATGAGAGACTGAGGGAGTTGGGTCTGTTTAGTCTGCAGAAGAGAAGAGTGAGGGGGGATTTGAGAACAGCCTTCAACTACCTGAAGGGGGGTTCCAAAGATACTGGAGAGAGGCTGTTCTCAGTGGGGGCAGATGCCAGAAGAAGGACCAATGGTCTCAAGTTGCAGTGGGGGAGGTCCAGGTTGGATATTAGGAAAAATTATTTCCCTAGGAGAGTGGGGCAGCACTGGGATGGGTTCCCTAGTGGTGTTTTCAGTCCTGTCTTGACAAAGCCCTGGCTGGGATGATTGAGTTGGGGTTGGTCCTGCCTTGGGAAGGGGGCTGGACTCAATGACTCCTGAGGTTCCTTCCAGCCCTAGGATTCTGTGATTCTATGAAATGTGGTAACCAGGTCTGCATGCAGTATTGAAAACGTGGGTGTACCAAGGCATTCTAGTTGGGCATGATGATACTATCTATCCCTTTCCTACCATTCTATTAGCTTTTTTGACTGACACTGCACATTGAGTGGATGTTTTCAGAGAACTGAAGCTTTTGTCGATCTTGGAGTCCATGATGACTCCAAGGTATCTTTCTTACAGGGCTAATACTAAACTACCATTTTGTATGTATAGTTGGGATTATGTTTTCTACTCTGCATTTCTTTGTATTTGCGAGCCTTGAATGTAAACTTTCATTTTCTTGTTCAAGTCACCTAGTTTCCTGAGATCCTTTCGTTACCCTTCACAACCGGCTTGGGATTTAACTAATTTGTGTCATTTTGAATTGTCTGCAAACTTTTCCACCTCCCTTTTTACCTCTCTTTCCAAATCATGTATTAATATGTTGACCAGCACTAGATAGATAGATAGATAGATAGATAGATAGATAGATAGATAGATAGATAGATAGATAGATAGATAGATAGATGGGGGTTGGGGAGAGAGAGAGGGGGAGGGGGTAATAGAGAGAGAGGGGGTGGATAGATAGATAAATAGATAGACAGATATAGAGTATGGGGATGGATAGACATACAGACAGGCAGACAAACAGATAAATAGATAGATAGAGGGGATGTGTGGGGATAGATAGATAGATAGATAGATAGATAGATAGATAGATAGATAGATAGATAGATAGATAGATAGATAGATAGAATTCTAGTCAATGTAGCTCAAGCCTTTTTATCAGTTTTGTGAGAGCCTCTTTGACCTCTTTGTTTCTCAGGGAGTATACAATGGGGTTGAGTGCTGGGGTTATAACTGAGTACAGGACAGCAATTGCCTTGTCTCTGTCCAGAGAGTGGGCCGCAGAGGGGTGTATGTAGCTGTAAACAGCGGTGGAGTAGTACAGGCTGACCACTATGAGATGGGAGGAGCAGGTGGAGAAGGCTTTCTTCTTGCCTTCTCTGGAGCGGATCTTGAGGATGGTTCTCAGGATGAAGCAGTAGGATGTCAAAGTGACCACGCAGCTCCCCAGGCCGAAGACGGCATCAGACAGAAAAGTTAGGGCTTCGTTGAGGCTGGTGTCAGAGCAGGAGAGCTGTACCACAGGCAGCAGTTCACAGAAGAAATGGTTGATGATGTTCGAGCCACAGAAGGAGAGCTGGAGCACAAGGCCGGTGTGGACGGCCGAATTGGCCAGCCCAGCTGTCCACACACCAACGATTAACCCAACCCAAACCTCCTTCCTGATGATGAGGGTGTAATGCAGAGGATGGCAGACAGCAACGTAGCGGTCAAAGGCCATCGCAGCGAGGACCAGAGCTTCGCTTCCCAGCGTCCACGTGAAGAGGTAGATCTGGGCAATGCATCCTGCAAAGTCGATGGTCTTCCTCCCCTCTAGCAGGTTGTGCAGCAATTTGGGGATGGACACTGAGCTGGACAAGAGGTTGATCAAGGACAAGTTGATGAGCAAGAAATACATGGGGGTGTGAAGGTTGTGGCTGGTCATGACAGTGAGAACTATCAGGATGTTCCCAGCAAGGGAGGCCATGTAGAGAAAGATGAACACCACAAAGAGTAACATCTGGTGTTCAGGGAGGCTGGACAGACCCAGCAGGACGAACTCGGTAACAGAGGATCGGTTCTTCATTTCCAAATCTCTGCTACTCCTCACCAGTCGACAAAAGTCAGCTCACTCGGCCAGGCCTGCAGCGGATGGAACCTGGAGCAGTTCTAAGGAGTCTGGTCCATGGGCCTCCAATGAGGCTACGCCCGTGTGCCCCAGCAGGGGCTCTGACCGATGGATTCCAATCCCACGCACCACTTCATCACAGCTGGCCCAACTTGAGTTGGACTAAAGCATCTTCCCAACCAACAGGTGGATGGACTTCATAACAGCTGACCCATGGACTCTGCAGGACCTAGTGTAAACCAGAAAGTAACCACAGTGAGATGAATGTGACATCATCAGAGGGGAGATAAGAATGCGGCACATGACACCTGCATGTTTTAACAGTATACACGACACAATGAAGGCACTAGAGTGAATTTCAAGTAGCACTTTGTAGAGGAAGAAGAGCCAGAAGAGACCCAGGTGACCATGTGTCTGATCCCTTGTGTAACCCAAGAACTTCCCCCAAAATAATTTACCGGGACCAACTTTTAGGGAAAAGATAATCTTGAGTTAGAATTTACCACTGATAGAGATACTACCATGACACTTGCCAAATTGTCACTGTGCTTATTACCCTCCCAGGTTTAAAAAATACACCTTTCCTTCTGTGTTTTAAATCGATAATTTCCAGCCACTTCATTGTTGGTTAATTCATGCTTTACCCCTCCAGGGCAGTGAGCGGAAAATCAGACCCCATGTCACTGAGAAGGGAGAACAAAAATATTTCCTCTACATTGATCAAATATTGGAGCAAGTGATATAAGCTAGGATATCTCAGGGAGCCTAAGCAATTAGTCACCAAACCCCTTTGACAAGAAATCCCAGTCTGTACAAATTGACTCAGCATGTTGGCTGAGTCTTTCTGCTTTCCTGATCTATCTCTCTAGCCAGCTATTATGAATCTATAGAAGAGCTTTTATGTTTTAAAAAGAAATCATAATAAAGAGCATGATTTAGCTCTACGTATTGAAAGCTGAGTTAGCTATTTAAAAATACTTCAAACAAATAATTATAAATTCCACGGTATCTACATAACACGTCCAGAAATCCCAAAGCAAATCAATATAGGTAATATGTGTCTGTAGATACAACACAATATACATATTGCGTGATGACCATGCAGAAAGAAAGAGGGAGAGCAGTGTTGAAAGAAAGAAAGAAAGAAAGAAAGAAAGAAAGAAAGAAAGAAAGAAAGAAAGAAAGAAAGAAAGAAAGAAAGAAAGAAAGAAAGAAAGAAAGAAAGAAAAAGTCAGTCAATGAAGGGTAACCCTGCCCCCAAGGGGTCAAATGAAATATGTGGAAGAACATCCATCAGTTCATCTCTATTGCACAACATGCTATAATTGGAACGAAAGCTCAGTCCTAACACTTGGCCGGCCATCCAATGAATGATGGCGCGCAATTTACCTTTCATGCACTGGGAATGTGGAAAGGGCTCAGTCTCCTTAGCTCTTCTAGTATCTCACACAGCACAAAATCGGCACAGCTGGGAGGAGCGCGCTTGTGCTCTTAGAAGGCTGCCGTCTGGAAATAAATATTTGTTGTTTCAGCCGGCCCAGCCCTTCAGACGCTCGAAGATGCCAGAGGAGCCATTACAATGGTCTTGCCTGACCCACAGAACATGGGCCGAAGAACATCTCCCCTACTGCTGGGAAGGACCCCATCCACTCCCTCAGTGAACGATCCGCACCACAGTCCTTAAATAACCCCCCATTCCTGCCGCCGGGGGAGGCACCTGATAGCTCCTTTAGACCTTCCTTATCTAAAGGAGGTGCTGCTCCTGTGTTTTAATTGCTTGTGTCAGCTTCAGTATCATGAACAGGATGCCAGAGTCCTTGGAGAGACACTGAAATAATGAGGGGAGAAAGAGAGATGGATGGATGGATGGATGGATGGATGGATAGAAAGAGAAACAGACAGATGACAGACACACAGACAGATAAATACATAAATAGATAAATAGAGGAGTTGTATGGGAATAGATAGATAGATAGATAGATAGATAGATAGATAGATAGATAGATAGATAGATAGATAGATAGATAGGGTATGTGGACAGACAGATATGTGGGAATAGATAGATGATAGGACATAGGTTTCAAAGAAAATAGTAGAGAAGTCTCATTTTTTACTGACGATCGGTTTTGTGCAGTAGAAAGGAGATCCCCTGAAGCATGAGGCCCAGTGAAAGAGGCCTGGACAGTAAGGAGATCAAAGTGGCCATCAGCAAAAACTTTCCTTTCCCCACACAATAGGGATTTCCCAGAGTTCTCCTGGTTCTCACCTCCCTGGCTTCCTCTACACCCGGCCCACAGGGCAAACATTTTGGCAGATCTGTGCACATCACAAGACATGCATTGATATTGTGGCACATGAACTTCAATGGCAGGGTGACATTTCGTAGTAGCAGGAACGTATCTCCTGGACACTGCTGATTGATGGTAATGGGATCAGGACCCATTGACAGCAGTTGTGATCTGTTGACACTTAAAAACCAATGAAGAGTCTTGCAGCACCTTGAAGACTAACAAAACACGTAGGTGGTATCAAGAGTTTTTGTGGGCACAACCCACTTCTTCTGATGTTATTCTAGTTGGACTAAGGTACCTTGGGTCAAATGTTTCACGGAATTCAGGTTCCTAGTGGGATTTCTTGAAATCAACTAACTATGTACCCAGCACTCGTTGGTTTCAATGGCCTTCGATGTTTAGAAGTTCGCGAGAAACACATTTTAGGTGCCCAAATGTGGAGGAGGAGGCCTGAGCTAAAATAGCTGTCAGGCCCTGCATGTATAAAGAAAAGTTGGCCAAAGTGAGGCTGTGAGCAGAAGTCAAGCCCTGTGATAAAACATGCTTGTAAGTTCACAGAACCTGGAAAGAGCTGGGCCATTGTGGCAGAAAGACGCCCATTCCTCAGGCAGTCCCACAAACACATCCCGGGGGATGGTACTAGAATGATGTGGTACAGTGATATTGTGAAAAAACACACTTCCCAAAGATAGTAGGGACCCCTCCTAAAGACAAGGTCAGGATGGCAGTGTGATGGAAAGAGATGGTTTCTTCAAGCCATCATGGAGAAGTTCAAGAGTAGTAACTTGCTACTTCAGAGGGGCATTGCATAGCTTGTGTAAGAAACTTGTGTAACTTGTATAAGAAAGAAGGGTCACAGAGGGTGTGTCTCTACATACACAAAGGGTTTCCCTAAGCATAATGACACCACAACTGTAGATCACACTTAAGGCCCTGATCCAAGAATTTATCTGCTTCTCTTTAAGCACATGAATGGTCTACTGAAGTCAAGGAGTTTACTCATAACCTATGGCCTTGTTGTCTATACTACTGGCAGTACATTGACCAAAATTATGCTACTCCAGTTACATGAATAACGTAACTGGAGTGGACGTAGCTTAGGTTGACTTACTGTGCTTTGTCATTGGGAGATGCTCTCTACTTGCCCTCCCTGACTCTTTTGGGGCACATGGAATATTGGAAAGTGCTGTCCCATTGATATAGCAGGTCTTAATTAGCCCCACTAAATTAACTGCTGCTTCATCAACTGCAGCAGCGCCAATAGATAGGTCAGTGTAGTCGTGGTCTCCACATGTCTTGAAGTGATCGATGGTAAATGGAGCCTTTTCAAGTTCAGAGATTCCCCCTTTGTCATTGGTACCTCTGGAAAATTCAATCTGATCTGGATCTCAATAGGGCTTGTCTGTCCTACACAGGATTTCTGTGTCAACCAAACCTGGCTCTCATTCATATCTCAACAGCCACATTAGCTTCAGGCTTTGCACACAGGGACACCAGCACATCTCTCTGGCTACTGTTGTGCAACTGAGCCAAATTAACAAAGCATTGTTGGGCTGTTCCATTGGTTTTGAAGGTGCTGTGTGAACTGATGCCTCTTGGCAATCTGGCCTGGGGACTTTGATGGAATGAAGCACATTTCCACCAGCTTGCCATCTGCCCTACTGACTGCACAGGGCTGGTGGAGAAAGAAGACAACACTCAGTGCCATCAGAAGTTGTCCTGTCTGTTGTATTAGCAAAGATGCATAGAGGAATCTATGTCTACATCAAGAGGAATGTTGTCAGCTTCATTTAAAAGTTGTATTTGTGCTGATTTAGTTTACGTCCATTTACCTTCTCCTTAGAGGCTTTGCGTGAGAGTTAGCTCTTGCCCCAATTCACAAGGGATGGAAGATCTCCCTACAGAAGGCTGCTGTATATGAAGAACAGTTGTCTTTGGTGATTCATAAGGCATTCAGGGTCTGTTCTGAAATTACAGCTTCCTTTCTGGTACTGGAAGATTGAATGAGAGGTAAGAACACTCCTCTTGCTTGCTTGCTTTCTCAACCATTCTGCTTGTAAATGGAATGTTCTGGCTTTTTTAGGATGGTATTTCAACATTTCTAAGAGTTAGGCACTAACATCTAGTGACATTAGTTGATAACGAAGTGATTATTTCCTCTCTATTCTTGTCAAAATGAAGCCAAATTTCATTTCTGTGATTCGTTGTGTTTTTTGCAGTTTTGTTAACTGTGTTTTGAAGGAATACTCATATCCACAACTGTTTTTATGAATCTTACACTATATTTTGACCAATGCAAATCTAATGTATATTTACATACATCGGTGGGATTGCTTTTAATTTAATTTCCACTGAGTCTAAACTCAATGGAGCTATAATATCATAAAATGGGTGTGAAAGGAAAGATTCCCCACCTATTTTTTCAACCCTGAAAAGTTGTCAATCAAATCTGAAATGTGATGCAAAGTGTAACAATTTATTTTAAAATATTCTAATCTGAAATAAGAAAAATGACTCTGCTATGATTTCATGATAAGATTGATTTCTTTTCCCTGATAGTCTTCTCGTTATCATCATTTCTACAATTCAGTCACACCTTTGTCTTCAAAAGGGATAACCCTCATTTTCTGAAACAGGAGCAAAAGAAAAATCAGCCAAAGCCATAAAGTTATAATAGGACTAAGCATGAGGGCAAAGAGAGACATATATAATACACAATAGAGGGCTTATCAAACTCTGTGCATGCTATTCCTAACAATGAAGCAACATGTTGCTAAGTGGTTTATCATAAAAAAATGAAAATCAAATTTTGTAGGTCCTAATTAACATTAGTTGCATAGCAGATCAAATGAGAGTCATTCACCAATATCATTCATTATACTGAAGTTTGACACAAGGAACCCTGAAAGGCAAATTAAGTCCATTTTAGTGCACCTTATTATATAGAAATATATTCATTATTATGCCTTGTTCATATACTTGGTATAAGTCACATACAATAACCGTCTACTATATTGAATCCAATCTTTGAGACATTCACTTATAAAGTAGAATCTTAGTTTAGATCAGATTTTTAGTTTACAAACGATAGTGAAGATTATAGTGTGAATTTATGCCGTTTATGTCAATATTCCCAATGGCTTCACACACCTCTATTTAAAAATATGAAAGGGGTTTATTTTTTCTTTCCTCCCTCAAATATTAGGATAATGTAGATTTAGTAGCTTTAAGACATATTATTGTGCTAATATATTTTAATGTCACGAAGTTCATTCATATGCTTTGTGGAATATCTAGAGTAAAACAAGATTATCTATCTATCTATCTATCTATCTATCTATCTATCTATCTATCTATCTATCTATCTATCTATCTATCTATCTATCTATCTATCTATCTATCTATCTATCTATCTATCTATCTATCTATCTATCTATCTATCTATCTATCTATCTATCTATCTATCTATCTATCTATCTATCTATCTATCTATCTATCTATCTATCTATCTATCTATCTATCTATCTATCTATCTATCTATCTATCTATCTATCTATCTATCTATCTATCTATCTATCTATCTATCTATCTATCTATCTATCTATCTATCTATCTATCTATCTATCTATCTATCTATCTATCTATCTATCTATCTATCTATCTATCTATCTATCTATCTATCTATCTATCTATCTATCTATCTATCTATCTATCTATCTATCTATCTATCTATCTATCTATCTATCTATCTATCTATCTATCTATCTATCTATCTATCTATCTATCTATCTATCTATCTATCTATCTATCTATCTATCTATCTATCTATCTATCTATCTATCTATCTATCTATCTATCTATCTATCTATCTATCTATCTATCTATCTATCTATCTATCTATCTATCTATCTATCTATCTATCTATCTATCTATCTATCTATCTATCTATCTATCTATCTATCTATCTATCTATCTATCTATCTATCTATCTATCTATCTATCTATCTATCTATCTATCTATCTATCTATCTATCTATCTATCTATCTATCTATCTATCTATCTATCTATCTATCTATCTATCTATCTATCTATCTATCTATCTATCTATCTATCTATCTATCGTACAGACATGGTTGCCTCATCTCAAAAAAGATATATCAGCATTGGAAAATGTTTAGAAAAGGTCAACAAAAATGATTTGGGGTTTGGAATGGATCCCATATGAAGAGAGATTAAAAAGACTTGGACTTTTCAGCTTGGAAAAGAGGAGACTAAGGGGGATATGATAGAGGTTTATAAAATCATGACTGGTGTGGAAAAAGTGAATAAGGAAAAATTATTTACTTATTCCTACAATATAAGAACTAGGGGTCACCAAATGAAATTAATAGGCAGCAGGTTTAAAACAAACCAAAGGAAGTTTTTCTTCACTCGGAGTCATCCTGTGGAACTCCTTGCCAGAGGATGTAGGTAAGACTAGGACCTTAACAGGTTTCAAAAAAGAGCTAGATAGATTCATGGAGGTTAGGTCCATCAATGGCTATTAGCCAGGATGGGTAGGAATGGTGTCCCTAGCCTCTGTTTGTCTGGAAATGGATGACAGGGGAGGGATCATGTGAGGATTACCTGTTGTTCCCTCCCTCTGGGGTATCTGGCTTTGGCCACAGTCAGCAGACAGGATATTGGGCTAGATGGACCTTTGGTCTGACCCAGAATGGCTGTTCTTATGTTCCTATCTATCTATCTATCTATCTATCTATCTATCTATCTATCTATCTATCTATCTATCTATCTATCTATCTATCTATCGATCTGTGTTGTCTCCGTCTATCTCTCTGTCTCTCTATCTCTCTTGGTAATTGTAGATGCTTTGGTTGCCACAATGCTGTAGTTTCTGATACAATACCTGACAGTAACTCTTTTGCCAACAGAAGGCACACTCAAGAAATGGAACCCAGCAACCACACCAGAGTGACCGAATTCATCATGTTGGGCCTTTTTGACCATCCTCGCCATCAGGGCCTGTTTTTTGCGCTCTTCTTGGGCATTTATATAGTTGTCCTCATGGGCAATTCTTTGATCATTGTGGCTGTGGTCCTCCACCCACCACTGCACACCCCCATGTACTTCCTCATCGCCAATTTAGCTACAGTCGACATTCTGTGCACTTCCTCGGTTCTGCCCCAAATGCTGAAAAACCTGATGCAGGAGACGCAAACTATCTCCTTTGGGGGCTGCATTGCCCAGCTCTTTTTCTTCACTTTCTCTGCCGGGACGGAACTTGTATTGCTCACTGTCATGTCATATGACCGGTACGTAGCCATCTGCCACCCCTTGCGCTATGCCCTCCTGATGAGCAAGAGAATTAGCATCAACTTAGCAGCAGGTGTCTGGATGCTGGGTGTCTTCAATTCGCTGGTGAACACCCTACTTGTGTTACGCTTAGATTTCTGTGGACCCAACCTGATCCAGCACTTCTTTTGTGAATTCCCAACCACGCTGGCACTTTCCTGCAGTTCCACCTACCTCAATGAAATTATGGTCTACATGGCTGACATCTGCCTGGCCATGGGGAACTTCTTGCTGACCGTCCTGTCCTACAGCTTCATCATCATCACCATCCTGAAAATCCAGAGTGCCAAAGGGAAGCAGAAAGCCTTCTCCACCTGCTCCTCCCACCTGCTCGTGGTCACCTTGTACTACTCCTCCATCTTCTACACCTACATCCAGCCGACCTCCAGTAACACTCTGGATAACAACAGGACGGCGGCCGTCATGTACACGCTGGTGACTCCCACCCTGAACCCCCTCATCTACAGTCTGCGCAATAAGCAGGTTAAAGTGGGTGTCCGGAAAATCTTTCCTTTCACCCCGACACAATAATTATGCACAGGGTTCACCTGATTCTTACCTCTCTTGCTCCTTCCAAGCCAACTCAATGTGTGTGGGGGGTGTATTGTTGCAGAACTATGGACTTCAACAAACGTGAATTATATGACGGTACATTCACTTCTATGTATCTACAACATTTCACACTGCTGTATCACACTGACCAGAGATCGGGCGCTATTAACAGGAGTGGAACTGCGCTAAGTCGTGCTAGGTGGACTAATGCACATTGGAACCATATATTAAAGATATTTATGTACCTACTGAGATTCGAAATAATCACCCATGCTCTTAAAAATCATGGATTTCAATCGGCATCTGGAGTCCCGGTGCTTTTGAAAATAAAACCAGCCACCTAAATATACAAAAATAGCAGGCCCATTTTGTAGCAAGTTGCTTTGCATGCTGTCTCATCGAATCAGACTCTACAGATCTATTCCTTAATCAGTAAGCAGGGTAACAGAATAGATCTGGCCTTCTCGCTTTTCTTGAACTTCCTTCAAGACATTAAAATCCCCAAACTTTCCAGTCAGAATGGTTGAGATGTGGACAGATCCTGTTCCATGCATCATTGATTCGGCTTAAAAAATAACAACAATTTAAGAGAATACAGTTTTATCTAATTATAAAGATAGGTATTCAACATTGGAATGTAGGTGGTTGGAGTCTTTTGTCTTCAAAAGACCTGTTCTGTGGACATGGACTAACCTAACCCAGTAATCTAATCCAAGTAATAAATATTGATTAAACTATAGTTTGCTGTTACAATAATATACAGGAGAATGAGGATGGATTTTTATTTTCAGTTATTGTAGCTGAGTCCTTTGATAACCACCATCACTACATATCAATTTAACCTTTTATTAAATTCCAAGAGAAAAGGCACAGACAAACAAAATCAATCAACAGAAATATTGAACACTAGAACTGGAAGGGACCTCAAGAGGTCATTGAGTTTAGTCCTCTGCCCTCATGGCAGGACCAAGCAGCATCTAGAGCATCCCTGATAGATGTCTATCTAAGGGTATGTCTACACTACAGAGTTAGTTCGAACTAACTTAGTTCGAATTAGTTAATTCGAACTAAGCTAATTCGAACTAACGCGTCTAGAACTAAAAACTAGTTCGAATTAGCGTTTTGCTAATTCGAACAGGCAAGTCCACATTGAGTGGACTCTGAACAGGGCTTAAGGAGGGCCGGAAGCAGTGCCGGCAGGGCATAAGAGGAGGACTTAGAGCATGGAGATGCTGTCTCAGGCTAGCCGAGGGCTGCGCTTAAAGGGTCCCGACCCCCACCCCGGACACACAGTTCTAAGGGGTGCCCCGCTTGCAAAGAAGTTCTGGCTTGGAGTGCCCTGAGTGCCCACACTGGGCACATCACACCACTCGGCCATCAGCCCGGCTGCACTTGCCGCAGGCTGCCATCTGGGGAGAGGGAGTAATTGGGGGGCTGCAGGAGAGCTTCCACCCCCAGAAGCCCGCAGAGCCAGCCCAGTCCTCCCCATCGGGGGCTCATACCCCATTCCTCCCTCACCTCCTTCCACTTACCCTTCCCTAGCCCCCCTTCTTATTGATGTACAAAATAAAGATAACGTTTCTTCCAACATTGACTCTGTCTTTATTGAAAAAAACTGGGGGAGACTGGGAAAAGGAGGTGGGAGAGGGGAAGAGAAAGGCTGGGAGAGGGGAGGGCAACTAACATGATCAGGGGTTGGGAACAGGTCCCAGATGAAGAAAGGCTACAGAGACTGGGACTGTTCAGCTTAGAAAAGAGGAGACGGAGAGGGGACAGGATAGAGGTCTCTAAAAGCAGGGGTTGGGTGGAGAGGGTGCATTCAGAAAAGTTCTTCATGAGTTCCCATAAAGAAGGACTAAAGGACACCAAAGGAAAGGAATGGGTAGCAGGCTTGAAACTAGTAAGAGAAAGTTGTTCTTCTTGACAAAGCAAATAGTTAACCGGTGGAACTCCTTGCTGCAGGAGGCTGTGAAGGCTACAACTAGAACAGAGTTTAAAGGGAAGTGAGATCAAGTCATGGAGGTTGGGTCCATGGAGTCCTATTAGCCAGAGGGTAGGAGTGGTGTCCCTGCCCAAAGTTTGTGGAAGGCTGGAGAGGGATGGCACGAGACAAATGGCTTGGTCATTGTCTTCGGTCCATCCCCTCCAGGGTCCCTAGGGTTGGCCGCTGTTGGCAGACAGGCTACTGGGCTAGATGGACCTTTGGTCTGACCCAGGACGGCCATTGTAAGCTCAGGGCTCAGTGTCGGGGGTCTCAGTGGACCCCCTTGATTTTCATGCACACCTGGTCCTGGGTGGCCAGGCTGGCAGCCCTCCTGCCCTAGACGGCCACTTTCCTGTGCCTAGTGCGGAGATCGTGGA